CAAGGGCTTCACAATGCTAGCTGCTCGAAAAGATTGCAGAAGAGCTTCGCCGAATATAGCGACAAGTCAACCTGCTTCACGACAACGCGCAACGTCGCGGGTGTTCGGTCTCAAGCCACAAGACTCTGAAGCCAGGCAGGACCGCGGCTGCCCGTCTGCCATATTCGTCAAACCTATCTATACACCTCTTCAACCTTTCCTGCTCGCTTGCTCATTACCTGGAGAACAGGAAGCTCGACGACGTAAACGAGCGCAAATCCGACACCAGAAGGTTGTTTGGCAAAAATCTTCCTAATTTCTAATTTCTGCGGTGTCACCCAAATGCCCGAAGGTTGGCGTAGTGTTGCTTGTATCTGAATGGTCAATATGTTATGGATCTTAGAATAAACAAAGAATAAAAAAATAAATTTCAAATTTGGCTGCGGGGTGTTTCAGAACTTTCTTTCCAAGCTAATAGATATTTAGTTGTACTGGCATAGGCGCCATCACAATTCTGATGCGTTATCAAACGAAGCCGACTTGGTTCTTAAAGGCAAAGTCCAGGATAGGAATGATTTATTATTGCGCTTGCAAGTGACAGTGGAGATTATGAGGTGTGACGCAGTAATGAAAAAACGGAGAGAAACCGTGGACAAAGACAAAAATAGAGCTCCCTGTCTGTTAGAGGTGAAGCGAAATAGCACTAATCTGTGAGCGGGTCCAGTGGTGTAGGGCAGGGCCAATGCTGCATCCTAGGGCCTTGCGCCTCGGAATCATCTCGAGATCCCTGAACATGATTCCCGCTTGCGTACCACTGCATTTTTCTTGAGGTATGCCTTAGTTTCAAGTAGAAATCCAGGTACTTCCCTTCATCGGTTCATCGGGGTCCATCTGCATTCATTTTGTATATTAATAACTGTCTGATACCTACATATAGCAGGAGGCCCTCTTATTTCTCTTTTTCACACACTAATCACTGGCTTGCTATGAAGGCTAGAGCGTTACATATTTCTTATGTTGCTTATATGATGATTGGCGCTAAGTTGGAGAAGA